CATTCACTTGAAGCCATTCAGGCTAGATTCGATCTGAGGAAGAAGCAGACGGAAGCTCTGCGCGACATCATCCCCAGACGCCAGCCCCAGCCCAAGCCCACTGCTAGCTCTCACAGGCCCGCCGCTCCTCTGACAGCTGGCAAGAGACCGGCGCCCACTGCTGGAGTGGGAGGGCCGCCGGCGAGAGCACGTACTCCGGCCCGAGCTCCACGCCAGTCGGCCTGGGGCAAAGGCCCTCCCCCGGGCCCCCGACGGGACCCGACGCCCAGGAGGAAGAAGCCTCAACCCTCCTAGCTGTGATTGCGAGTGGGGAAGGGATCCGGCAGCAGGGAGACGCTGCTCTTACCCCTCTGTTGCCGCACAAGAGGTGCCGCTTAAGTTCTGTTCAGGTTGTCAGCCCCAGAAGGCGCTGCACTTCCCTATCGCGGTCTCCCAAGCACATAACCCCTGCACACGGTTCAGATGTGTTGAATGTTCAAGCGACCACATCGAGTGTTCCCGCTGTTTTTCATTGTTATGCCCCGGAAAAGGTGCACCCAACAAAATGTATAAATGTACATGTTCCCATGTTGCAATCAATAAAGAGTGTGGTTTACTCTCAAACAATCTCAAATGCTCAACCTGCAGGCGAAATGAGCCAGGTCAGGCAGGGGATGCAGTCCCCTGCAGACACACTGGGGGGCGACGGCGCCCCGCCGTCAGTGCTGCAGGCCAGCCGGCTGGCTGCTCACTTCCCTCAGTGGCGCGCTTGCGCCCCCTCTCCGTGGGTGCTGCAAACCGTTGCCATGGGTTACCGGTTGCAGTTCCGGGTCAAGCCGCCTCGTTTCCAAAGAGTCGTGAACACGATTGTCAACCCCGAGGCAGCCTTGGTACTCAGAGAGGAAATACAGGCGCTATTACAGAAGAGAGCAATACGGGTGGTCCCCGCTTCGGAGACGGACAAAGGTTGGTACAGCCGTTATTTTGTCATTCCGAAGAAGGGGGAGGGCTTCGTCCCATCCTCGACCTGCGAGTCTTGAACACGTACCTGCGAACGTGCAGGTTCAAGATGCTAACACTCAGACAGCTCCTGAGTGCAGTCGGCCCGGGAGATTGGTTTGCGACAATCGATCTAACAGATGCTTATTTTCATGTCGCTATACACCCGAAACACAGGCAGTTTCTGAGGTTTGCATTCGAGGGCGTAGCCTACGAATACCTAGTGCTGCCGTTCGGGCTGTCGCTCGCTCCCCGCACCTTTACGAAATGTGCCGAGGCAGCGCTAGCGCCCCTCAGGAAGAGGGGCATCCGCATCTTGGCCTACCTGGACGACTGGGCTCTCGTGGCTTGCTCCAGAGAACAGGCGGAGACGCAGCTGTCGCGGGTTCTGTCACACATTCAGACACTGGGGTTCTCTGTGAACTTTCAGAAGAGCTCGCTAATCCCAGGTCAACAGATCGCTTTTCTCGGTCTGGAAATATGCTCTCTTTCCAGCCGCGCACGGTTGTCAGAGCACAGAGTGGCCGCGTTTCATCGCTGCCTCGCTCAATTTCAGCTGGGACGCAGACTGCGTTTCCAGACGATATTGCGCTTGTTGGGCATGATGGCATCTATGATCGCCGTAGTGCCGCTTGGGCTGTTGAAAATGAGAGCGTTTCAACGCTGGACTCTCTCTCACCGTTTGTGTGCTTCGCGTCACCTCCGGAGGAGGCTGCCGGTAACTGCGTCTTGCATGCTAGCTCTCCGTCCTTGGAGGGAGCCCGGGCTACTGCACCAGGGCTCTCGGATTGGGAGGGTGTTGTTTCGCAAGGTGGTGTCCACAGATGCTTCCCTAAGTGGGTGGGGAGCGCTGTGCGAGGGTGCGTCAGTGAGAGGGATCTGGTCCGCGGCTCAGCGCCAGCTGCACATCAACCACTTAGAGCTGTTAGCAGTGTTCTTAGCTCTAAAGCGTTTCCGTCCAGTCCTGCAGGGCCAGCATGTCTTAGTCAGGACGGACAATTCAACAGTGGTGTCTTATATAAACAGGCAGGGAGGAACACGCTCTCTTCCCCTGTTGCAGCTGTCTCGCTCTCTGCTGTTATGGTGCAGTGTTCATTTTCTGACTCTGAGAGCCACCCATGTCCCGGGCCACCTGAACCTGGGGCCGGACCTTCTCTCCAGGGGGGGTCCTCTGGTGAGAGAATGGAGGTTACACCCTTCAATAGTGGCTCAGATTTGGGATCTATTTGGCGAGGCGCAAATAGATCTTTTTGCTTCCAGGGTGAATGCTCACTGCCCCCTGTACTTCTCCATAATCGACCACGATGCACCCTTGGGCTTGGACGCGCTAGCGCACCAATGGCCAGACGTGCTCCTGTATGCATTTCCCCCAGTGGAAATGATATCTCCAATTCTGGAGAGGGTGCGTCGGCATTCCCTCTCTCTGATCCTGGTGGCCCCTTGGTGGCCCGCGAAGTCGTGGTATGCAGAAATAATCAGCCTGCTTGCAGCAAGTCCTTGGCAGCTTCCTCTCCGCAGGGATCTCCTCTCTCAGGCGGGGGGGAAGTGTTTCATCCGCGCCCGGATCTGTGGCACCTTCATGCTTACCTGCTGAGAGGTTAAACTTGGTTGCTAAGGGTCTGCCACCTAGTGTGGTAGCGACGATTCAGAGCGCCAGGGCCTCGTCTACTAGAGGCTTGTACGCTTACAAATGGCGAGCCTTCGAGCGATGGTGCCAGGACCGCCACACTCTCCCATTTCAGTGCTCTATTGTGGATGTTTTGACATTCCTGCAGGAGCTGTTGGATAAAGGCCTTTCGTTTTCGACGATCAAGGTTTATTTAGCGGCTATATCTGCTTGTCATATCGGTTTTGACGGGGTGACACCAGGTGCGCATCCCCTCGCCGTGCGTTTTCTGAAAGGGGTTCGCCGGCTGAGGCCCGTGCTTAAGTCCAGTGTCCCTGCTTGGGACTTGTCTTTGGTGCTGGAGGCCCTTTGTGGCCCTCCGTTTGAACCCGTTGAGTCGGTAGATATGAAACTTCTTTCGTATAAGACCGCATTACTTCTCGCTTTGGCCTCGGCGAAGCGAGTGGGGGACCTTCATGCGCTGTCTGTGCATCCTGCCTGCACACAGTTTTCTCCTGATGGCCGCAAGGTCGTATTGCGTCCGAATGCCGCCTATCTTCCCAAGGTCATGCCTGCATCTTATAGTTCAATGGAGTTTGAGTTGCTGAGCTTTTGCTCCCCTCCTTTTGAATCTGAGGAGCAGAGGAGGGTGCATTCTCTTTGTCCGGTGCGTGCGCTACGCACCTACATTGAGCGCACTCGGGATGTGCGTTTGTGTGACCAGTTGTTTGTCTGCTTCGCTAATCCGAATAGAGGTAGAGCTCTGTCCAGACAGAGGCTGTCCCACTGGATTGTAGAAGCTATCTCGCTGGCATACAGCACCGGAGGTTTTGCGTTGCCCCACGGGGTGGGAGCTCATTCCACCAGGGGGATGGCGACCTCATGGGCTCTTTTTAGAGGGGTGCCTGTGGCTGATATTTGTGCAGCGGCTAATTGGGCGTCGCCGCACACTTTTGTGCGGTTTTATCGGTTGGACGTTACAGCCCCTTCGGTGGCTCATGCTGTCCTTTCTGCTGGGTCTACCACTCACTGAGGATGTGGTGGTCCCGTTCCGGTTCGGTGGCTGCTCTGCGGGGCGTGTATATAGGTCCCATACTTATGTGTTGTACCGAGTGGATCGACTGAAAGGGAACGGTTAGTTATGTCTATAACTTCTGTTCCCTGAAGGAGAGGAACGAGGTACAACACAGGGTGGCCCCACTGAGCAGTTGGCTCGGTGAAGAGCGGCTATCGAACTGAGGGATGACGGTGATGGCAGCGGCTATATGTGCGGGCGGGGCCTTGCGCGTGTCATCACACGTCATCTGCCGTAAAGGCGTGAATAAAGGTTTCTTCAGCCAGGACACGCGAGGGCGTGATATCCCATACTTATGTGTTGTACCTCGTTCCTCTCCTTCAGGGAACAGAAGTTATAGACATAACTAACCGTTTTCTTTGCTCACTTCTTGCTCATTTTGTAAACATTTAGTTTGTAAAAAGTTAATCGGCATCGTGACTTTCAGGTTCTCTATGTCCTGAAACATTAGCCTGTTAGCTAAGTATTTAGACCACCTGTCACAACAATTATATTATTTATGAGGGAAATTAACAAATCTTTTTCCTAATGACTGCAATTTAGCATCTTAATCATTGTTATTTTGTAAAATAATACATTTTAAAATTCATTGATAGAATTATTCATTTTGTATTTGCCAATACTGTTAATTTAGAACATCTGTGGCACAAACCTTACACTGGGTGACCTGGAGACAAATATACTGTGGAGATGACACACAGAGGGTTTTAAAATGTGAAAATCTGTCATCTCACACAGTGATGTGCTTTCCTTTCCTGGTAGCAGTTAAGGAAAAGTGGAGATGGACCAGAGTTATTATAGTTCTGCAATTTTTATTTATTTTTTATTTCATGTTGAATGTTTTTAATTCACTTTCCCTTCAGTGAGATTCCAGAGTGGGTTTTGTTGTTTCAGGTTTTATTCTCTGGAAATGTTTCTTAGTCCTTCCTTTCTTATTTCTTTGTTGTACATCGTGCACACACCATTTCCGCAACAGACAAAAGAGAGTGAAAACACACACAGGGCTCATTATCTGCAGGTTCTCCTGGTCACGAGACAGCACATACACCTTCAACTGTTCAAACCCTGCGCCCTTTTTCCTGGGAAAGCAAATTTTAATCTCGACTTGGAAAAACCGTTTGAGTCATAATTACGAGTTGGAAACCGCTGGCTTCTCAACAAACCACAGTTTCGCATTATTTCCAGCCAGAAGCCAGCAGCAGGCGATACTCCAAACAACACTGCATTCATTTACAGGGAAACGAAAACAAGACTTTGATATCACTAATACACTCGAGCATTAGAAGCTGCTGTGTGGCAGCTGCAGCCTCACGGCAGTTGCGTAGAAAAGGCGGGACTCACATGTAGCCTCTGAATCTGTTCAGGTCGTTGTTGGGCTTTTCACATTCGATGATGCTGTTGTACTTTAGAGGGTCAAACTCGCAGTCCTGCAAACAGAAAGCAAACAATACTCAGGTAAAGAATGCAGCTTCAGGTGACAGGTGGAATATTTATCCTTTCCCCAGGAAGTACAGTTACACAGCATTACAAAACACTAATGCCCAAACAGCCCATCCGAGATAGGATAAAGTGAAGGAAGTGAGACTCCCACCTGCACTCATTCCATTATTTCCTCTGTTAGTTGACTAAAGTTGCAGCTAATGGAACGTATTAGTCTTTAATAGGGCAGTTTGCATATTAACTAGATTGATTAGGCTGCACTGTTTGAGCTGACTTACCCTTCCTCTAACCACCATAAAAAAACTCAATGACTTTCAACTCAGAAACCACCCACACAAGTTATTTAATAAATGATCAGCTTGTCTTGTTGTTAAACAGTTGCTTTTGGACCTGAGGAACTTTCCCAAAATCAAGTCCTCCTAGTTGTAAATCAGGCTCCGGGCGATTAGCGCCTGGTTTTTGCTTCCCACGCGCACCAAAAACAGCAGCGTCACAACTGCTGGCCTGTTGCGCTCCGGCTGGTCGTGCACCTCTTGCCGGGTTTGAAGAAGCCTCGTTTAACCTCTCCCACCTCAGCAAAAAGATCAGCATTAACCTCCCTGCTCGCTGCATTCTCTCCTAGCACGTTTCTCAGCTCGCAGCTGTTGCGCACCTGTGGGCCAAAATAGGCTTGATGGCTTTGACTGTTACACATGTGAAATACTACGTTAAAAATGGCTGATATTGCTGAATGTGTCTATACTGCTTCATTTCACAACTATTGCTGGTGGGCAGGGCGCTCGTGTGTGACAGCTTTCAAATACACGAGTGCAGATTTGTACATGAGTGCAAGAAATGTAGCTCTAGATAAAATCTAGTATGACCAGTGACAAAGTCCAGGCCTCATTAAGATTTTATAGAGAACAAGACATGAAGTTCAATTTGCAAAGAGAAAGACTTTCTCAAATATTAATTAGAATTAAAATAAAAAACAAACAGCCATGGATTTTAATTATATCTTATTTCGAGGGGACTTTTTACAACGTTAACTCCCCCGCCTGCCATAAAGAGACTCCTGACAACTAAAAGTTGGAGAGAACTCAAAGTTTCAACCTGTTAAAAGTTTTTTCTTCTGACAAAAAAAGAGAAAACACAGCAGAGAGGAAGTGAGAAGCATCCATCTCACCAGGTCGTAGAAGCTGCGGACCACCTGCCTCTGCTTCAGGTTGGTCTCTCCATCCAGGGTGGCGGTCTCGATGTGGCACAGGCGGTCGGGGTCGCTGGAGCTCAGCAGCAGCACGTCAGCGGGGAGGATCTCGTTGCATCGCAGCCTGATGAAGTCTCCCACCCGCACCTCCTTCCAGTACTTCTCCACATAGCGTCTCTCTGCTCTGGCGGAACAATAAGAGGGCGAACCGTGAAAGATGCAGAGCTATTGTTTTCCACAGTTCAACAATCTAAAAATGGAAACTTCAGCCCGTCCTCCATAAATCTGGACAGCAAACACGTTCCACGCAGAAACAGGACGGCCTGTTTGTTGATGCTAAAACTGGTGAAAGCGACTGCGACATTCCTCGCGGTCAAGCACATTCAGCTTCACTTCTTCCTCAATATGTCAGTCAAAGGAAGTACATGATGCCACTATTATAAATAATGAATTACTCTGAAACTTTTCACGTCAGTAAAGCTTATTACCGACATATAAACAGTCCCGGAGCCTGAACAACAGAGCAGCATGACGGGATGCAGCTTTACGTTTACCCCTTGAAGAGGCCTCATAGTAAGATCTGCCTATATCTATATCTGTCACATAGTTTCAAGTCACGAGGAGCCACTGAAGATGGAAGAGGCAGGTTTGAGACCCCCGGCTCAGATGAACATCTTCAGAGAGTACTTCTTTCCATTTAAAGAAATGAAAAAGTCTTTTTTTTTAAATATTTAAGAATTTTTATGCAGTGGTTTTACTTGTTTGGCATCAAACCGGGTTGTATATAACCCATGAAATATAATGAGTTTGATTAATCTGTCTTTGATAAACATTACTGATAAAACACAGGTTGCGAGGATCGGCTTCCTTCCTTGCTTTTTTCCTTCTGGCTCCAAGCGATCCGAACAAAATTTTCTGGTTAGAAGCCTTAAAATAGAAACATATTTCAAAAACAGGAAACTTAGGCCTTGTGTTTGTTGACCTTATATAAAATTTGCAAGTCAGCTGACTAACCCTGCCGGGCAGAAAGGGTAAGACTGAAAATGTCTGAAAAACACTTACATAAAGTGCACTAATTTAGCTGAACATAACATTTGTTGTCATAGGGACAGCTAGGGCTGAACGATTATGGAAAATAATCTAATTGCGATTTTTTGCCCCAATATTGCGATTGTGATGCGATATGCGATTATTTTTTAAGGTCTTTGTCTTCTGTATTATTAAACAAAGACAAGCAATACATCATATAGTATGGCCAATACTATATTAGGGGCAGGGATAGCTCAGTAGGTAAAGTGGTCGCCCCATGATCGGAAGGTCGGCGGTTCGAATCCACTTAACGGCTACCCTGAGGTACCCCTGAGCAAGGTACCGTCCCTACACACTGCTCCCCGGGCACCTGCTTAGTGGGCTGCCCACTGCTTCACTGAGTGAATGGGTCAAATGCAGAGAAAAACAAGTAATTTCCCCATGGGGATCAATAAAGTATCCATTATTATTATTATTATTACATTAATTTTAAACTGTTCTTTCCTGGAAGACAGACCTCTGTTATGATGACATGAGGTGATGCATGAATTGATGACTGACATTTTTATTTAACTTCTTCAATCACAACAGTATATTTGAACATACACAATAGTTTATTTTTAGCTTACAAACATCTGAGCATAAAGTGCTGACAAGGAACCCTGGTGTAAACATTAAAATGAAAGTCAGTACAATGTGCAGATTGCAGAAATATACATAAACAAAATCAATGGCTTTACCACACTCAGTTTTTCGACATCTGTGAACTACTAGACAGTCATTCAATTAAAAAATAATATTAAATAAATAAAACTAATAAATAAAAAATACACACATCTTACTGATCTCTGCAGTCAGTAACATTACACATAAAGTGCAAACATAATAGCAATTGTATAAACACAAATTGGACGGTCTAGCCTTCTGATTAGCGTCACCGCTGTCTCGGTGGAGTTTAATAAACTCGGCCGTCTGCTTCTTGCTATCTAAAATACAACCAGACACTGGTGTAAATTCTCGACTGTCTCATACTTCTGTTTAATAAGTTTTCTGTTTGACGTTTAGTCAGCTGTGTGAAAACCAAGGAGGAACCCACCCGGGGGATTAATAAAGTTTTATTTTATCTAATCTAATAACTTTAATCTCAGCCAAACCGATTTACTCACGAACAAACAAAACACTGAAAAAAGCCCAACAATAACATTTTTAGGTTGTCTAAGTGACTTATATATTACGTTTAACCCGAGCAGCGAAACTCCGCGGTGATCTGAAAATGATGTGCCGGGAGTTGTGCCGTTCTCGGCCGCATCAGTAACCCTCGAGCTCCCGGCTAGCTGTCGAGCTGGTGGGTAGCAGACGCCTCTGAAAACGTCGAAGCACTTTTGCAAATATGGGATATCTTGATAAACCGAGCAGATATTTGATGTTTACACAACTACTTTCTCGCCTGAAAATATGTTAAAAGTTTATTTTGTGACCCAGAAAGATTAGTATGAGTAATTTTAAAACTTAGTAGCGGCCACCATTGCTGGAAACTGGAGTTTGGCTGGGCCGCGCTATGAATTCTGGGATATGGTAGTAATTTGGACAGCCTTCGGCGCGTCGCTGTGACGTAATCGGTCTACAAATGCGGCCTCAGGAGGATGCAGCCCATGAATTTGGACATGTCCAGAGTATAATCGCAGCCTTTGCGGTTAGAAAATTGCACTTGATCATGTCGCGATATTATCGCAAATGCGATATATCGTTCAGCCCTAGGGACAGCTTCCTGTGTCGTAATGAAAGTGGTCCTGTCCGTGTCTCTGATTGGTCACAAGATGCGCCTCTTTCGTGCGAAACATGCTTGTAGCTATAGTGATAAATCGTGGTTTGATTTATCGAGCTGATAACCACCTTCTTATGACCTCTGAGCTTGATTGAGGATTTTAGGATAAGCGAAACCAGGTAAAGAAAATATATTGTGGATACGTTGAACTCCATAGTGCAGAGCCTAGGAGTTACTAATTCATTACGACCCTCCCTACATTAATATGAAAACATTCCTTTCCGTGAACTTTGACAGTCAAATACATTCAGTGCCAGCAGAAAAAAATTACTTTTAGCTCTAGTCTGCATTCCTCGTCTGACAAATAAATCTTGGAGTGAACAAAAACACAACGAGGACGATAAATATTTGCAAAACCACATGAAAATAAATTTATTATTGAGTGAAAAGAAGCAGGAAGATGAAGGAGGAGGAAATAAGAGATGTCTCACACTCTAGAAACGAATACTCGAGTGCATACTTTGGATATTAGAAGCAGTGACATTGGCATCAGTCCGTTAATAAAGGGAAAAAATAGACTATGACAAGCTGCAACTAATCAACCTGAAGCTGATTCTAATCCAGAATTCCTCTGACTCGTGTGTGCTCCTATAGAGGAATCCATCTTTGACCTGGAGAGTGGAACAAATGATAAGAACTAAAAGGATTTGCTGGTTGTGAAGCCGTTCCCCCACCCGTGCCAAAAACAAAGAATGACTGTATTTGTTACTGTGGGGAACCAGTTCCTGTAATCCACACTGTTAACAGATTCACACATACCCAAAGCTTTCCGCGAAGCGCACCGCCTGATAAAAAGTACGCCGACAGTCACAGGTGTGTCCTGCGGCGCTGCTTAAAATGTTCAATTAATCTCCACACTTCAGCGATCGCTTATTCATTACTCAGTTATGGCAGAATATGCCAGCCTTAAAGAGCTGAGGTCGAACTGGTTGAGAGACTCGGAGTGCAGATGGTTTCCAGCTGTTGGCACCCTGTGCAGCAGATTAGGTGCAAACTATTTACATTCCACAGAACTACATTTATTTGCACCGATCTTCAGGGATTGTATAACACAGCCAGTCCCAAACTTTACGCCACCACAGCCCATAAAAAAACAAAACAAAACAAGCTTCATGACTGATCATCATGTGAGCCAAACACTTCCGTTTCTTTTTGTTTTTGTTATTTTATAAATTATGCTCATAGCTGATTTTTTAGTGAATGCTCATTGGCTAAGGCCTTGTCAGTCACAATTTGTTAGTGTATGACCACGCAAACACTCAGGTCAAGTCTGTTTGTTTGGTCCATCTGTCACATACAGTCTATAGTGCCAAAGGTAAAAAGTTTTTAGAGATATGCAGGTCAGCACTCTTTACATTTTTACTCTGAATGTGACGATTCCACACCGTGTACTACATGTACGTTGTAAACATAGGCTGGAAATAAAAGATGGACACGACCGCTGTGACGTTAAATCTCGTTAACAAGCCTCGAGCTGAGTGTTTTCCCAGTCGCCGTATATTTGGGAACTGGAGGTGATGAGCGAGGGGAAGATCTTACTGAGATACCGTGCGGATAATCCTCCTTTCTGACTCTAATAATGAAAAATAAAAATATTCATGACCCCATAAACTCATCAGGTAAGTTTCAGAGGTGAAAGAGAGCCATAGATATATTTATCGCAGGAAGTCTTTTTGTAACTGGAGACTCGCCACCTGGTGGCCATTACACAGAATACACCTCCACGCTGACTGATCTGTAGTTGTGAACAATGGAGCTGTTGACAACACTTTAAATGAACAAAGAAGAAGAAAAAAATCCGGTCTATGCAAAACATCTCGTATAACCTCGTATATGCGGATACTAATCTCAGAGATAACCCAGTATCAGCCGAGTGACATACCAGTCAGGCTCTAGCTGAGAAAGGCAACATTTTTCACAATGTTGCCACCGCAGAAAAAAAGTTCACTCATGTCCAGCCCTGACACAACAACTTAGGTTCAGCACTCAGCTAAAACTGTGGAGTCACTAAACACTGAGCCTTTTGATGACGGTGAATTATGCTCTGTGCATGGACCACAGTGCTGCTTTTCATTAGCAAAATACAGTCTGCGTACACACACACACACACACACACACACACACACGGAGTCAGGAAAATGGTCAGAAACAGGTCATCAGGTTGGCTCATAATAAGCAGAAACAACACAGAGGCAAGAGGCTGAGCTATCACAGTTTCATACTCCTCTGAAACCGAGGTGACCACAATATTCTGGACTTGCATGAAGGGACGTCTGTGTGCACTTAATTTGCTTTTTTTAGTGAGGGGGGGCACAAAGCTTTTTGTGTACCTACTGTAACCTGTTGACGGTTTGGTCACATCATCAGCAGTTATGGTCAAGATGACTAACAGGTTAAGAAACTCCTCTTTATGCTTAACTACTTAAACTGAATCTCCACACGATTAAATCTGCAGATATTTTATTTGTAATTGAAATTGTTCACAGTCTGGCTGCTCGTCCTCTCTCCGTGACTTCATTAAACAAAATTAAAGCGCGTACATGTGGAGCAGAGAGCTTTTGGGCAGTCGAGCGTCACATACCTGGAATGCTTTGGACAGTTTGATAAACTGTGCCGTCAGAAAGTAGAATACATACTGAAAAAGCTTACCATTTCTAAAAGAGGAAAAAAGGTCTGCATAGCCACGTCTTTGTTTCTGTGTGCTTTGAAGTGTTTCTGGAACACCTGTGTGTGACCCGCTCAGGTGTAAATTAGCAGCAGTGCTAAATTCTGCCTTGTTTACATCCTAAATTATCATATTGAAATCCATTATCATGCGCTGTGCCTGCTATATGAAACAACAGCAAAGGAAACACTGCATCTCTTAATGCTTTGTTTAAACCTGTAAATCAGTGCCTACCTACTGGCTGGATACTAGAGGGGCGTATGTGTGTGTGTGTGTGGGGGGGGGGGGGGGGGGGGGGATTTCATGTGATACTTTGTATCAAAGGTTTGCCTGATGGGTAAAGTGTCTAACTTATCAATACAGACAGCACGCTGCCATCAGTCTGACTGAGTCTTTGTCAACGAGCACAACACGAGGGGACTCGACTCCACTGGCTGCCAGCTGACTGTATCCGAATACTCTAGTATTGTAATATTCTGTATTAATACAATTTGCTCTAATCTTTTTCTCTTTTTTAACCAAATTTATTTGTACTTTTCTTTGTTTTGATTTTTAAATCACTGTTGCACATTTACACTTCTGCACCTTCTCGCAGTATAAGAGCTTACTGGGAGCCTGCGGCACTTTTATTTTTACTTTGTTGTTTATTGTAGACTGCACTAGTTTTATCCTTTATCCTGCTGCTGTAACACAACAGTGCGAATCAATAGCTGTAATAGTTAAATGTGAGTTTCTGTCTGTGAACAGCAACAAATATGTGATTTTCAACAGTTATCACAGTTAATTGTTGTATTATCAGAAACGGACTGTGTGGAATTGCCAACTGGTTGTGCTGACAGTGTTGGTACTCTTGACCAGTTTGTAAAACAAACAAACAAACAAACAAACAAACAAACAACTGAAGTGAGAAAACTTTATCTTATAGGATAAAACAGTTACTGACACAGTTGAAAAGGGTGATAAATCACAGTATATGTTACTGCAAAATGTTAAAAATCCCTATAATATTGGACCATGTGTGAACATTAAGATAAACTACTGTATACTGTGTCACTGTGTTCCTGTGCTGTGGTGTCTGTGAGCTGGTGCTTCACACTCTGTTCTGTGTATATTTACATATTTGGGTTTCCTTTGAATGGCAGCAGCCTGGCACGAGCCTGTGTGGTTAAATGTAGCACATTTACAGCAGGCTCTTGTTCAATGATGTGCATTTTCTCCTCTTAAACAGCAGAAAGTACAAAGTTAGGGAGCTGTGGACGCCATGAATGAATGTGTGTGTGAGTGGGGCTTAGCAGAGAGACGCTATAAAAACACATTCCCCCAAAGTTCTGCGCAGCAGCTGGACACCGCTGGCTGCAGGATCGAGCCGAGGCCCAGCTTACCTGCTGTAGACCAGACAGTCCATGTGGTTGATCTCTTTATCGGACCTGTGTCTCCTGTAGTCTTCCCACAGGTCTTTGATGGCGGTCACGGACAGGATGAAGACCACGGGAGCCAGAGCGAGCTCGGGCTGGAACGCGTTGACAACCGGAACAAAGTTGAGCAGAGCGATGAAGACGAAGTAAACATTGGCGAACCTGTGGAACTGTTCGAAGAGGTTCTTTGGCAGGAATGACAGCACGGTGTATTTGGTCGTCTTAATCTTGTTGTTTGCATAGTGTCGGTTGGGGTTTTCGTCCCCTTTGGCGCAGTCGTGCAGGATGTTTGCGTGGACAGTCCTGGTTTTGTTCTCTTTGGGTTTCTTCTTTCTTTGCCGTGCGGCTGGCGGAGCTTTGGCCATCCCGGCGTCCTCCTCGCTGTGCCGCGCCATAGCCAGCTCCCCCCAGCTTCAAACTTTCCCACAGTTTACTTGACACACGCGCACAGGAAAAAAAAGCCGCGTCCCAAAGTGGTGGCTAAGTTATCATTCTTCCACGGGGGTCGGGAGTCTCTCCGTGGGGTCACACTAGCAGTTCCATTTCCTCCATGTCGACTCCTCTTTTCCAGAGTCAGAGGAAAACTTTTGCTTGTTGAGCGTCTCCGCTTTTTTTCTCCTGCTGCTGGAAAAGGATGCTGAGGTGGGGGGGAAGGGGAAAGGGGGGACGGCTCGGATCTGTGAGCCATGCGGATGGGCTTAAGCCGCTGGATGTGCGCAGCTGCGGGGTGTGCAGATCAGCCCGTGTGCGCAGGCTGAGCGCAAACAGGACGTGCGTGAAGGGTTCAGGGGGTCGCACTCCTCTGGAAATCTGACCCGGAGGGAGGTCCCTCCTCGAGCCAACCTGGGTGTTTTTTGTCTGTAAGTGCCACGCGGTAATATTGGGTTTGCACCGGCCCACAGGAAGCAGCAACACATCCAAACTCGGTGTTTTTGACTTTGTTTAAAAAAAAACTGTGGCGCTTAAAAGAAGAACTCCACGTGGAGAGAATCTGTCGTGAGAGTGGGATGTTTTTTTTTTAAATGCGTGTTTAAATAATCCTTATTATAGAATTTCTCTTTAACACGGTGTTTGTATAATACAGCAAATACAACATCACCACGCCGTTAATCATCCAAAGAGAATAAATGTATAAAATATAGTTGACACAAAAATATAAACGAACATCAGTTTGCGCGCAATCGTTGTATACTCTAGCAGTGGTTCCCAAACTATGGGCGACCCCGCTGCTGGGACAAGACACACTGCAGATGCAGGTGGAGTAAAACATAAAGCCAACGTTTGTCTTTTATGGACAATAAACAGCCTCGTGACTTATCCACGGGCTTTCTACGACCCTGAACTGGATATTAGTTTGAATGGATGGATGAAGGCTAAAAACTGTGGGTGTGGGCAAGCCAGCAAAAGAGAACAGGCAAAACAACATAATTATAGTGCAATGGTGGAGAGTGAATGATTTTGTGTCACAATGTGAAAGGTGTGCACAACAGCACCTTTTTTTGATGTCAAACTACGTTGATGTTTGTGGGCTTCTGATTGGCCAACATTTCCTCTACCAGAGCCCTGGGAGCTCGAGAGTCCTGGGCAGTATCTGTCATGAGTGTGGCAAGCAGGATGAAGGAACCAAACGCACGACTCATACACAGAATGTAAACTTAAAGTGCCAGCTTTATTGCTGGACAAGTTCTTCATAAAATAAACTCACCAAAAAACAAAACCGGAACATGAAACTAGAACACAAGGAGCACAGAACAAGGAAACTAGAGACACTTACAATGCACAGGGTGGTACGACACAACGAAGGGCAAAGGAACACACAGGACTTAAATACAAAAGGAGTAACGAGGGAATTGGAAACAGGAGGGAAACACAGCTGGGACTAATTGGGCATAATGTGACAACGGGAACCAATGCTAGATACACGGCACACAGGACAAGGACTATCAAACTAAAACAGAAACATTCACAAAGACGCTGACTTGACACAGAGACATAGAGACGCTACTCACTGGGGAAACAGGGGGAACATGGAGAGAAGAGTGACTAGATGAGGAACACAGGGAAGGCAAAAATGACAGAAACCTAAATCCTAGGAACTAAGAATAAACACAAGCAAAAAACATGAATTACAATAATCCAAGAACATAAATAAACCCATAAACATAAAACACTGTGTCAGACACAGTACTGTGACAGTATCTTTGCTGTTCCTGGGACTGCGCTCTTCTGGACAGAGATCTCTGACGGTTCTGCTCACCCAGTTTGGGGGTCGCTGTCCCGAGTGCTGTGATTACCACGGGGACCACTGTTACCTTCACTCTCCACTTCTTCTCGAGTTCTTCTCTCAGCCCTTGGTACTTCTCCAGCTTCTCATGTTCCTTCTTCCCAATGTTGTTATCATTCAGTATAACTACATCTATTACTACAGTCATCTGCCTCTGCTTGTCCACAACTACTGTTAGCCATCACCAGTTTGTCCATCTATATCCGGAAGTCATCCAGAAGTCTCACAGGATCTCAGCTCAGTGTGGTCATTAACCACCCAAGAGGGCTAACCTAAAAACCCTATCCCATTTTGACCTCGGGACTTCCATGCCATACTTGGCACTAGTGTTCCTGTATATGATGCCAGTCACTTGGTTATGGCGTTCAATGTAAGCCCTGCCTGCTAACATCTTGCATCCTGCTATTATATGCAGCCTGCACCAGGGGTCTTGCCTGGAGTGGTAGACCCCAGCCTATATGTATCTTGGGCTGAGAGCTTGTTCCTGTGCTGCCATGATTAGTGTCTCTCTGCCGTTTTACAATCCATCTTTGTGCAGCCATTGGTAGGATTTTTTAAATATTAATACATGTAATAATATATAAAAAAGCAAAATAACACCAGTAATCACACAGACTGCAATGATGATACAATAACATTATGCAACAGTTCAGCAGGATGAGTAAAGTGCCATGTGCAACAGCATCTGCTGTGAAAATGAATAGTGGATAATGTGTACAGAACAGTGCGTTGTACTGCAAGGATATTTCAAGTATTACAAAGCTATTGTATGTGTGTATTCTGGCCTGGTCCATAGCAGTCACAGCGCTGAGGAAAAAGCAATTGTTAAGTCTGATTGTGGGTATGAATGGCTCTGTACCTGTGTCATCATGTCTTTTACAAGCTCTTCAGACAATGTCCTTAAAATTACATTAATTTGCACAAATGCAGGACTTGAGTAGATCTGTCTATATTTAAAGGAAAATCCAAAATCTAAATTTAGGACTTTGTAAATATGACAACATGTACAGCTTCTCCTGCACTGTAAATCCACAAGCTGCAGCCATTTTGACCAAAACAGGAAGTAACTGACATTTGATTTGATAAAGAAATATTAGCAAGTTTATGTTAACAACAGACTTTATTTCACAAGTCTGACCAAAAATCCATGAATGAGATCCACTGACCTTTGAGATGAGAGAACCAGAAATACAAAACTTCAAACTCTTTTGCAAATTTTGGGGCTCATTTCTGTTTTGGCCTATCACAGAGTGCACACAGTGGCCGACTAATATTTCAGTCAGACTCTGATGAACTCATGAAGATTTCTGATGTAGGACAATAACAGAAAAGAGGTTGGTTAAAAAAATGGTTATAAATAATCCCACTCGCTTTTCTGACGGTTAGGTATTTATTATTAGTGAGGGTTTCAGGATGATAACAGTGATTTCTTTACTGGTACTTTATTATTACATATTTTTAAAAACCAAATAGTCATAAATTCATGTAAATACTATCCCAGAAAAAAGTGATTTCATGCAAGCTCTGGCTTTTAATATTCATCCACTTGTAGTCAATAAAGTCCCAACAAAAAATCCTGCAAACTGGAGCTTTCACTTGGATGGCAGGACTGAAAAGTCTAAGTAAAACTATTCTAAAAGAAAAGATTAACATCAATACGCTGCAGCTCTGAAAGATTAGTACCCCCAGAGGCTGACTGGCCCCTTAGCCAGCAGGTTCCCCTGAGGTGATAAATCACAGGCCTGTTCCAGGGCAGTCTGCAGCAATTTGCTACAGGAGCATCCAGCTGTTGGGCTAAAAACTAATGGCTGATTGTACGCTGTGGCATCTTGGCACAGAGAACAATTCAATTTCCACATGATGAATGAGCAGAGTGAGGTGGATGTGAGACGGCGGCCTCAAAAAACCAATCATGGCTCAGAGGAAACAATAAGAAAAAAAAGACTAAATCAGGTTTAGCTGAAAATAAAATCATCCTTAACTTTCTCTTAAAAATAAGATTACGTGTGTGCAGTGTTTTTAAAAGGACCATCATGACATGAGTGTTATTCTGTATTTTCCTCTTCCACACAGCGCAGTGAAACCTTTTCTTTATTATTAAAACTGCTCCTGGAGTTTTCCTTTTGTCCGTGGGATTAGGATATATTGAACAAAGGAAGTTGAAGATGGAGCTGCCAGGCAGGAGGAAAAGACCACAGAGCGGATTCGTGGATGTAGTGAAGGAGGACATGCAGAGGGTAGGTGTAACAGAGGAGGATGCTGGGATAGGGTGAGATGGAGGCAGATGATCCACTGTGGCGACTACTAAAAGGAGCAAAAGAAGCAGAAACAACTTGGAAAAATGACTTCATAAAGGGTGCACATTTACATTCAGCAAAAAGAAACAGCATAATAACTACAGCACTCTGAAGGACACATCCAAACAGTCAGGGGATGAATGTGACAGGATTTGAGATCATTAAAGAAGCACAGAAAGAGTAAAAAAAGATTTGTATGAATATCTAATAAATATAAATTCAGCATCTCCTTGTCTTCCATTATTTAAATGGCCTTTGAGTCTAAATAATAGTTGTGTAAATCATTTTGAGTGCTCAGAGTATAAAAGCGCTATATAAGAACCTGTCCATTTACCATTAAAATCTTTAACTCTAATCATGTTCGCATATTTTAGAAACAGTGTATTATGAATGCACTTAAAGTTACAGTGTGCAAAATCTTGCCACTTGTTTAATAAGGAGAGATCATTTGGAAGAACTGACATGATTTACTGAGATGGAGAACTTAATGTATTTAGTGATTAGATCCCGATGAACCATCACGGCAAAATGGATTGAGGACAGGACCCCCCTGGAGTTTAGACGCCGCTGGTGGTGAAGATGAATACTGAGGCTTGGATGGAGCTCTGACTGATTTGTGTGATGCTGAGGTGGGGAGGAGGAGGGCTGCACAAAAAAAGAGTCTGAAAGGGAGAATGACAGAAAACCCAGATATCTATCTGGTACTACCACTTATTGGAAAACCCTAAAAACCAAGTTAAGTCGAGTCGAGCCGACCTGAGTAGGTACTAGTGGAAAAAAGGGCTAGGTTTGAAGTGGAGCTAACTTTGTTGGACTTTGACATGGATAAACTCTCATACGATGTGAGAATGTAATCAAACTGTTTATCAGAGGGTTTAGCTTGTCAGATATCCACAGATGGGAGTGTCACATGTCTAATCTGTTGACAATAAGGGGATCTGCAACTGTATCAGGAATAAATAAGCATGTTTATGCAAGTTTTATGTGTTAGCCCTTCAGAAGATGAGGCTTGAG